ACCAAGAGGTCACGGTTCGATTCCTGGTCAGGGCACATGCCCAGGTTTCCAGCTCCATCCGCAATGTGGGTTGCACATGAGGCAGCTGATCCATGTTTCTCTCTCATATCAGTGTTTCTATCTCTCTCCTCCTTTCCTCTCTCTCTAAAAATCAATAAAAATATATGTGTTTAAAAGAGCCGGTAAACAAACAGTGAACTTGAGTTAATGAAGTGAATGCTGAAATTATTTAGGGAAGTATTCTAACAGCTAGACTAGCTTCCTTTTCCCTTCCAAGACTTTCTATTACTCCTTCAGCAAAGATTTGCAAGTGAGGATGTAAGGATACTTACATCTTCACAACTGTCCTTTGCAAGACCTGGCCACTGCCTCTCCTGTCTCCTCCACTCCCGGCATCCTTCTGTGTTGTGACTCAGCCGGGTTCTGTCCAAACTGCAGGCTTTGGCACCAAATGTTCTGGAATACCACTTGATTCTTGATGTTTGCGATTCCCTTGCTTCGCTTTATCAGCAGTTCTGGACCAGAACAGTCATCGGTTTGAAAACAGGCATTGTCACACAAAAAAGTATTTATTTCTGTAGATTTTTTTAAATTTTTGAGACAAACTGTATATCAACAAACACTGACTTTATAATCATTCAAAATGTGTATACAACATTTTGGGGGGGACCACCCTATATATAACAATGCTCCCAGAATTTGCTTGAAATGTTTAAAAACTGGCAACAACGTAAATTGGTTTCAAGAAGAGGCTGTACAACTTAGGGGAGCACTCATAAGATGAACTTCCATAGCACTCGGTCATCAGAAGCAATAAAGTTACTTTTAATGCACTGACAGGAATAATTACTAATAGTGAAAAAATAGAATGAGAGTATAAAGTATAGTCCCATAGGTCCCAGGTTCGATTCCAGCGATGGGCACATGCCTGGGTTGTAGGCTCCGTCCCCAGTAGGGGGCGTGCAGGAGGCATCCGATCAGTGATTCTCATCATTGATGTTTCTACCTCTCTATCCTCCCTTTCTCTCTGAAATCAGTAAAAAACATATTTTTAAGAAAACAATTTAAAAGCATTGTATACTACTATAGCCCTGGCCTGCGCGGCTCAGCAGGTTGAGCGCTGTCCCAGGGACCAAAAGGTAGCCGGTTCAATTCCCAGTCAGGGCACATACTCAGGTTGGGGATTCCATCCCTGATGGGGGTACAAGATGGATGTTTCTGTCGCTCTCCTTCCTCCCTCTTTCTCCAGAATCAATAACAACATATTTTTAAGAAAAAAACAAGTACCTGCGAAAAGAAAAAGGTGAGGGTCGGGAATAAACCAGACTGTCCATGGGTATTACCTCAGGAGAGGAGGCATGAGCTATGGGCAGGGACTTCCATTCATTTTATTCATTTCTCCAAACTACGCTACCCAAGCACGTTGGTAATTAAAACGTTTTAAATGTTTTGAACTCGGAACTGTTTGCAGAACAAGACCCGAAAGTACTCCCGAGTGTGCAGCTTTTGAGCCTGCGGTGAGGCTGGGGTTCTGAACGGGGGAGCAGGCGGAGCGCCCCGGGAGGCAGGGGCAGCGGCCCTCCCTCTGCACCATCCTCCCTGGAGCACTCGCCCTCGGGACATCCAGTTGCCCCGGGCTAGAGGCACAGAACGGGGGAGAAGGTGATCCCGGGGCCCCGTCCCCCTCCCCGCGGAGAAAAGAACGCGCCGCTCCTCATCTGAGAGGCGCCCTGCACGCGGGACCCGGGTCCGGACGCGGGCAGCGCGGGCCCCACCGAGGCGTCCGGGAAGGTGATCCCGCCGCCGCCCTCCTCTCGCTTCGCCGCGTCCGAGGCGAAGGCTGCCGGGTCCCGGCCCGCGCAGGGGCGCCCGCCCCGCGGTGCCCGCGCTCCCAGCGGAGCCGCCCCGGCGCCCCATCCGCAGCGCGGGGACCCGGGGAGGCGCCCCGAGCCGGAGGGGTGTCCCCCGACTTCAGTGACCCGGCCCGGGCGGCCCGGTGTGGCCCCGCGCCTCCGCCTTCCACCCTCACCGCCCGGCCGGCGGCGGGCGCCCCGTTCTGCAAAGGGGAAGCCGCGCGCGGGGCGCAGGACCCGGCCGAGGTCACCGGCGCGCCCTGGGCCACCCATTGGTTCCCAGGTGTGAACCTGCTGGGCCTGCGTGCTCCCCTGCCCCCCCCCCCCATGGCCGCGGGGAGGGTGTGAACGCGGCCTGGGAGCCAGGGCCCGCCGGGCTTTTCCCCGCGGAGCCGGCCCCGCAGCTCTCCCCCGGGCGCGGCCGCCCCTCGGCGTTGAACGTCTGTTTAAGAAGTAAAAGCCGGTGTTGCTCAGTGGATAGAGCATCGGTCTGCGGACTGAAGGGTCCCAGGTTGATTCCGGTTAAGGGCGTGTACCTTGGTCGCAGGCACATCCCCAGTAGGGGGTGTGCAAGAGGCAGCTGATCGATGTTTCTCATCCATGTTTCTAACTCTCCATCCCTCTCTCTTCCTCTCTAAAAAGTCAATAAGATATACTTTAAAAAAAAAAAAAAGAAGAAGAAGAAGTAAGCCGAAACCGGTTATGCTCAATGGATAGAGCGTTGGCTTAGGGACTGAAAGGTCCAGGTTTGATTCTGGTCAAGGGTATGTACCTGGTTGCGGGCACATCCCCAGTAGGGGGTGTGCAAGAGGCAGCTGATGGATGACTCTCTCTCATCGATATTTCTCTCTATCTCTCTCCCTTCCTCTCTGTACAAAATCAATAAAATATATTAAATTAATAAATAAGTAAAAGCCGGACCCGCTGGAGTGGCTGGGGACTGAGCGTGACCTATGAACCAAGGGTCAGGGCACAACCCTGGGCTGCAGGCTCAACCCCCAGCGTGGGGCGTGCAGGAGGCAGCCATCGTGATTCTCACCATGGATGTTTCTCTCTCTCTCTCTCTCTCTCTCTCTCTCTCTCTCTCCCCAACCCCCTCTGAAATCAATAAAAATAGTCAAAGCCCGGTGGAAACCGGTTTGGCTCAGTGGATAAAGCATAGACCTGCGGACTGAAGGGTCCCGGGTTCCATTCAGGTCAAGGGCATGTACCTTGGTCGCGGGCACATCCCCAGTAGGGGACGAGCAAGAGGCAGCTGATCGATGATTCTCTCTCATCGATGTTTCTAACTCCTCTCTCCCTTCCTCTCTGTAAAAAATCAATAAAATATATATTTAAAAAAGCAGCCAAAGCCCTGAGCAGGCTAGCAACCATCCGAAGCCAGGCTCCCCACCAGGTAGCAGGGAGGGACGCCCCCAGCCCGGCGCTGGGGTGTGAGCGCCTTCTGCCACCGCGGCGCGGGGAAACTTGAAGGCGGGGGTCCTGGCCCTACTGACCCGATCAGAGTCCGGGCTGCCAGGGACCTGAGCACCGCCGCCCCGGCTGTCTGAGCCCGGGGGGCGTGAGGAGCGAGCCCCGGGGGCCGAGGGCGAGCCCCGCGCCGGCCAATGGCCTCGGTGGGCGGGGACCGGGCCGCCCCGGGACCTGCGTGGGCCGCCTCCCTCCCTCCCTCTGCCTCTCCGAGCCCCGTCCGCCTCCCCCCCCTCCCTCTGCCTCCCGAGCCCCGTCCGCCTCCCCCCCCTCCCTCTGCCTCTCCGAGCCCCGTCTGCCTCCCCCCCTCCCTCTGCCTCTCCGAGCCCCGTCCGCCCGCCGCCCTCCCTCTGCCTCTCCGAGCCCCGAACGCCCGCCGCCCTCCGAGCCCTCCGCCCGGCCCGCCCGGAGCCTCGGGTCCCGGCCCCAGAGGCGCCCCCGTGGCGCGTTCGCAGGTGGGTGCGGGGCGGGCGGGGCGCGCAGGCGGTGGTCGCGGTTGGCTTGGGGGCCGTGTGCGCTCCTGGGCTTCTCCGTTCGTGGAGTATCAGGTCCTCGGGGCGCGGGAGCCGGCCCCGCTGCCCTCTCCCCCTGACCCCGTGTCCCTTAATGTCTGAGTCCCGGCCCCGCTCGGGTTGTGATGGGCTCCTTGATCCCGCCCGCCCGGCGCGGGGCTCGCATGTCCCCGAGGGGCACCCCCAGGTGGCGGACCCGGGGGACGTGGGGCGAGTGGCGGGTCTCGGCCTGCGCGGGGCACCCGGCGCTCTGCGCTCCCCCCCACCCGGGGCCGCGGGAGCGGTTGGGGTGCGACTCTCCCCGACGCCCAGGGCGGTCTGCGCTCGGACCCGGCCCCCGCCCGGCGTGGGGTGCCCGGAGGCTGCCGGCCCGGGAAGAGCCTTGTTGGGCCGAGAAGAGGGGGCGGGGGGCGGACCTAAACAGGCTTCGCAGGAGCCGGGTTTGGGGTCACGGGGAGGAGGAGAGGGTCCAGGGATGTTGGAGAGGAAGGCGGCGGCCACTCTCACCCAGAACTTAAAGAGTCGGGTCTGGCCGGACCCCACGTTTTCGTTTTGCTTTTTAATGTTATTATTGATTATATATTTACTTTTTGACTGCAGACAGGAAGGGAGAGAGAGAGAGATTGAAGCCTCAGTGGTGAGAGAGAATCATCCGTGGCCGCCGCCTCCTCCGCGCCTCCCGCCGGGGACGGAGCCCGCAGCCCGGCGTGTGCCCTGCCCCGGAGTCCGCCCTCACCTCCCGGTTCGTGGGCGGCCGCGGAGCCGCGGAACCACGCCGGCCGGGCCGTTGTTTCTGTTTTGTTTGTGCGGCGGGGGCGGGAGGGGGGAGCTGGGGGTTTGCGGGAGCGAATTAGGAGTAGATCCGATTCCCGCCGACCGGGGCTGGCTCTGGGAGTGGAGGCTCGGCGGGTGGAGGCTCAGCAGGTGGAGGCTGGGTGGGGGGGGGAGGTAGAGGCTGGGGGTGGAGGCTCAGCAGGCGGAGGCTGGGGGGGGGGTAAGAGGCTGGGGGTGGAGGCTCAGCAGGCGGAGGCTGGTGGTGTGGAGGCTCGGGGGGCGGAGGCAAGGTGGGGGTGGAGGCTTATGGGCAGGAGCCGGCCGCACACCCGCGCCCGCCCTCTCACCGCATTTGCTCGCTTCCCCGCAGGCCCGCCGCGCCGTGGCCGGGATGGCTCTGCGGCCGCCGGGAGAGGCCGGGCTCCCGGGCAGCCCCCCGTTCCTGGCGCCCTACTACGCGCCCTTCGCGCCCTATGGGCCCCCCGGGAGCGGCCTGGCCGCCGCGGGGGAGGACTGCCAGCCTTTCCCCGTCCCCGTCCCCATCCCCCTCCCCGCCGTGTCCGCGCCCCCGGCCGCCGCCCCCTTCGCCCTGCTGAGCCCCGGCCTGGAGCTGCCCCGCGAGCCGCTCTGCGACCTGGCCTGGCCCGGCAAGCTGGCGCCGTGGTGCCCGCTGCCCGCCTTCGCCAAGGAGCTGCAGCACTTCGTGGCCCCCGGGGAGGACCTGGCCCTCGTGGGGGGTCGAGGCGACGGCGGCCCGTGGTACGGACCCGAGGTCTTCCTGCCGCCGCCGCCCCCGGCGGGCGCCCTCCTGCTGCCCGCGGGGCTGAAGACCTCCCCGCTCCTGCCGCACTTCCCCAGCCAGCGGCCCGAGGACGGCCCCAAGCCCCCGGAGCCGGAGAGGACGCCGGCGCAGCGCTACCACTTCACCCAGGAGGACCTGCACCTGGTCCTGTACGGCTTCCTGCCCCGCCTGGAGCCCTCCCCGGAGCGCCTGCACCACGCAGCCTCCGGCCTCCTGGTGCCCCCGGACGGCGCTGGTAAAGGCAGGCCCCTTCTTCCCGGGCCCTGGGTGGGTGGATGGATGGATGGATGGATGGATGGATGGATGGATGGATGGACGGACGAATGCATGGATGCATGGGTGGGTGAATGGATGGATGGATGGAAGGAAGGATAGGTGGATGTATGGATGGTTGGATTGGTGGGTGGATGGATGGAAGGATTGGTGGGTGGATGGATGAGTGGTTGGATGGATGGGTGGACGGACGGGTGGGTGGGTGGGTAGGTGAGTAAGCGGAATAGAGTGGGGAAGGGGCACTTCAGGGTGAATGAGTCGGGAAGAGGTAGGGACCTGCATGTGCAGACTTCTATCAGGACCTCTGTCAAAGGACAGAGCCAGGGAAGGCCAGGCTCCCGGCTGCACTCTACTCGCTTAACTGTGTGACTCCCGAGGTTGGTTGTGGTGAGAGCTAAGGGGGAGGAGAGAATGGTTCCTGCCCTGGGCTTATCCCCTGGACTCAGACTCTACCAGGATGTGGCAGATTGTCCCATGAGCGCCTCGTGCAGGTCATGGAGTCAGTCCCAGCTCAGCACCCATCGACCTTGACCTTAGTCAAAGCCAGCATTATCTCTGGGTCTCAGGTTCTTTAAATTTGTAAATGGGGATCATTTCACAACCTTACAAGGATTGTTTTGTGTCTCGAAGGAGAAATTGTATATGTAAAAGGAGCAGGAAACACATAAACATCAAACTCAGGAAAATGATTATCTCTAGGGAGCTCCGAGGGCAACACCTCATGAAAGGGTTTCACCATGCTTTGCAGTGAGAAAGAAAACGTGACCCCTGATTTTTTCTAGGGTCTGAGTGTCTTCCTCGAGCCGTGGATCCGGATGCTCTAAAACTGCCCGAAGGTAGGCGGGTCTCCTGGCTTCGACTTCTTTCCTCCGTCCGATGCGGTGAGTTTGCTCATCCCCTTCTCTGTCTGGGGTTCCCCTAGGTCTCTGCCTCAGGCAGTTGCTGTTCGGCGGTGTGCCACATTTTGGCGTGTTCTGCCAAAGCCTCATTGCCAAAGGAGTCAGGTTTGGACCCTTTCAAGGAAAAGTGGTCAACGCCAGTGAAGTCAAGTCCTACGGAGACAACTCTCTGATGTGGGAGGTAAGTGTGTTTTTGTGGGAGGAACTTCCTGGCCTGTGCCCCCCTGGGAGAGAGGACAAGACGGTAATCTGCTGGCTGTGCTGCCTGCTTTGCAATATAAGGGAGGGAGGGGAGGTGATTCATAATCCTTGACCTTGACCAATAATACCTGCAGAAATCCCAGGCGCCCTGTGGTGCCCTAAGTCATTTTAGCCTGCAAACATGAGCCAGGACATACACAGTTAAAGAATTCATGCATTGTGCCTAATTATAGACATGAACAATTGCTTTCTTTTTTTTTTTTTTTAATATATTTTATTGATTTTTTACAGAGAGGAAGGGAGAGAGATAGAGAGCTAGAAACGTCGATGAGAGAGAAACATCGACCAGTTGCCTCTTGCACACCCTCTACAGGGGATGTGCCTGCAACCAAGGTACATGCCCCTGACCGGAATCGAATCCGGGACCTTTCAGTCCACAGACCGATGCTCTACCACTGAGCCAAACCGGTTTTGGCTGAACAATTGCTTTCATAGGATCTAGTGATGCTGAGAAGATGCCAAGGGAAATAAACCCAAATTTAAAACGATTTCTCCCTTGTCTATGGAGTTAGCTAAAAACGGAGACTCTTGACTGTGTATGGATGTGGAAGATGTCAATCGCAGGTTGAGCCAGTGGAATTGCCAGGATCAGAGAAAGAAAGCATGGCTTCATTACTATGCATGAGGATTTGGTTGGGGTAAAATACAAAACTAACTGGTTGTTTTGAAGGAGTAGAATTGAGCAGAACCTCCTCTTGTTTCCCTTACCTCTGCGTATCAAATGGACATATGCTCCCTATACAAATTTGGAAATCAAGAAAGATAAAGTAATAATCTTTTTTAAAAAAATGTGCCCATCGCCTACAGAGAAGTCCTTAAGCTAATAAAGTTAATTAGGCTTAATATAAATATATTCAGTAGACTCCAATGGGAGATTTGGATGATACGTCTTTTTGACAAGTAAAGCTCAGATTCCATCCCTTGTTCTCTGTTAGATCTTTGAAGACGGTCGTTTGAGCCACTTTATCGATGGAAAAGGGGGCGCAGGGAACTGGATGTCCTACGTCAACTGTGCCCGGTTCCCCGGGGAGCAGAACCTGGTCGCCGTGCAATGCCAAGGGCAGATATTCTATGAGAGCTGCAAAGAGATCTCCCAGAGCCAGGAGCTCCTGGTGTGGTACGGAGACTGCTATGAAAAGTTTCTGGACATTCCCGTGAGCCTGCCGGTGACGGAGCAGGGGGAGCAGGCGCCCGGGCCCTCTGAAGGTGAGTGCACGCCTTCGCCGCCTGGCCAGTGAGGCATTGCCTGTGCAAGCTCTGGGCTCCCCTCCCCCCCGAAGGCTCGAGCTGAGACTACACTGAGAATGTCTCTAACCAGGGGGCATTGCCCAGCTGGAGGACGAGGCCCTCATCTCCCCAAAGCTGCTGAAGCTGCTTCTATTCACAAGGACCCCTTTTCTTGTACCCCTTCTCTTTCCGCCCAGAGAAGACAATAAAAGTGAAATAAACGGACGCGTCCTCTGCCGCAGGCGAGCCAGTTTCTGAGTCCTGCCTGCTCGGGCTCTCCCAGCCAGGGGAGCCACTCCAGAGTTTGCCGTGTTTGCAGAGGGTGGGGTGAGAAATCAATTCACTGGTGGAGATGGGCATGAAAGGGAAGAAGAGAATAAGAATAAAGTAGGATAGAAAATATTGATGTGAACCTCAAGCAAGAGCAAGCATTGTTTGTGAAGTTGTTTCACAGGGATATGGGTGTGGGGGCTGGGTCTCAGAGAATGTATTTCCTACTGTGGGGTCTCAGTCAAGTTTGACAAGCATTGAGCTAGATTCACTCTTGGATTTGAACGTGGCTGTGAATTCCTGGGCAATCTTGGGGAGGAGCAGATTCTCAGCAGATTCTCATTCCTGCCTGGGACCTGAGATTCTGCATTTCTATCAAGCTGCGAAGGGATGCCCATGCTGCTGACCCACTGCCAGGGAGTGAGCCTCTGGAATTTGCATTTTTTGTTAATATATTTTATAGATTTTTTTTTTTTACAGAGAGGAAGGGAGAGAGAGAGTTAGAAACATCGATGAGAGAGAAACATCAATCAGCTGCCTCCTGTACACCCCCTACTGGGGATGTGCCTGCAACCAAAGTACATGCCCTTGACCGGAATGGTATCTGGGACCCTTCAGTCCGAAGGCTGAAGCTCTATCCACTGAGCCAAACCGGCTTTGGCTGGAATTTGCATTTTAAAAAGGCGCTGAGTGAGCCTTGGGAATCACTGTAGGTGCGACAGGACAAGTGCAAATTACTGAAATATATGTGATCAGGTAGCAGACGAACCTATGTTACAATCAGTGGCGTGAGTGGCAGGGGAAAGCCAGTGGGAATAGCATTCATCACACACTGCACTGGTTGTCTACCTGCCTGTCTTCGAGCTAGACCGTTCTTCGGGCCAGGGAGTAACCCTAACCCTTCGCATCCCCTGCGGCCCCGTGTGTATTGAATCAAGGAGGAAGATGCTGACTCAATTGGGAAAAGCTGCTTAGTTAGGGATGAGAGGAAATTCGGGGCTGGGCGGGCAGTGGCGGCGGAAGTGCATGGGGGGGGTGGTATTAGGCAGGAAGAGAGAAGGCAGTGCAGGCTGGAGGGTGGTGAAGCCAAAATCAAGCATCCACAGGTTCTCCAGGGATTAGGAGGTGAATAATGGGGGTATCTTTGCAGGGTCCTAGTATTGAGGAGCTGTCCGAATGGTTTGGGTGCGCTATCGCCCTCCTACCCTAACGTGGGGGCGGGAGTGAGGTGCTGGGATCTCTAAAGTCCTGGGACTCAAGTTGTCACGTACTTAGCACCGCGTCACGCACAGCCTTTTGGTCATTTCCCAAAACATACCAATAGCTTTCACTTTTTAAAAAAAAAAAACTTACCTTTATTATTGAAAGTATTTGAGATGCCCCCCTTTTACCAATTGCTTTTATGTTATTTTTTCTTTTTTTATTATTTAAAGTATACAAATAGCACATATGCCTCGTTTTCTTTTTTCCCAATTGACCTTCCAGCCTCCCCTACCGCGCCCTCCTCACATGCCCTCACCCCCCTCCCAGTGTCTTGCATCCATTGCTTATGCTTATATGCATGCATACAAGTCCTTCGGTTGATCTCTTATCTCCCTCTCTCCCCCATTGCTTTTAAAACAAAAGTGAAAAAATAGATTTGAGACAAATCCATGCTTGATAACTCCCCAAATTTATTCATTCCCCTTTTTGAAAAATCCCTTAACCTGATGATGTATCAAGCTATTAAAATGTCCATAACTGTTGATGTCTCTGGAAATTTATCTTCAGGAAATAGTCCAAATGGGTTTGTGTTTTTTTTTAATCCACAAGGACTTTAGCTACGGCACCACCCGTATTAGTGAAAAAGCAGACTCTCAAGTGCTCAATGCATAAATAAATGAAGACATATTCACATGGAGTACTATACAGATTACAGCATATAAGCAACAGGGATGAGGGTTTAATGGTTAGTGTGGGAAACCAAGCTTGCGGCTACCCAAATTCCCCGATGCTCCTGGCACTGGGAAAAGGCTGTGTATGTTGGACAGTGTGTGAGGGGAAAACTTGTAAAGGACTCCGTTTGTTGGGAAGAATCGTGGAGGAATTCATTTGTTTGCTGTTATGGATGTTTGGGAGAGGTTTTCTCCAAGGCTGTTGGTGAGGAGGGTGACAACCTTCCTCTTACGGTCGTGGGGGACGCGGGGTCCTGGGCCCTATGTGGGCGGGAATTTGAGGACGCAGCCTGCCGAGTGTGTGTTTTGGGTGCCGGAGGTGTGGAATGTGTAAACGACGCTTAATCCTTCCTCTTAATCCTCCCAAAATCTAAAGTGAATGGTGGTGGGGCCAGAAGCATAAGAACTTGGGGTTGGGAAAGCCCTGGATGAAAAAGAGCAGCTGACCCAGCAGAGGGGAGGAAGCAGGAAAAGGAATTAGAATAAAAAGAAGATACATTTCCAAAGACCTGAGTCTAATTAGTAACGTTGGGTGTCACTTCTGCCTAAATGGTTGTTCCCTTGAGAATGCACTCTCATACCCATATTTTGCATGTTGGTGTGTTTTAATGCTTTGAGTTGTAAAGGTCGCTGGCCCCATCTTTAAGACCCCCATTTCCCATCCCAGGAAGCAGGAAGGCCAGGTACTGCTGGCCAGATTCTAGCTCTGAACAAAAACGCTGGCAGTGCGGGGGTTCTGGGAGATTAGCACCTCAATGAAAGTGGCAGACTGGGCTGGGCGGTGGATTGTCCCGGGCTGGGCGGCCGCCTTCCTGGCTATTTACTTAGTGAATGGTTTATTTCCTTAGCCGCTTGTCGAACGTGCCTGGGATGCAGCTGTTAACTAACAAAGCCCCGGATGGATGGCTTCCCTGCTGTCCTGATCCTGGAAAGATTTCCATCTCCAGATTCTTGCATATACGCACTCCTGGCTCTTTTCTCCGGCCCAGAGGCCAGACAATGAGGTCTCAGGGGAGGCACTTCTGGAATCCAGGGTCCTGGCAGAGGCCCCTGTAGGGAGCCCCTGTCCTCCCTTCCTCCCAACAGGTAGACAACCCTCACCTGGCCCCTCCTTTGCTAGAATCTGCAGCACCCTCTCTCTTTTTTAAAGATATTTTTAAATATATTTTATTGGTTTTCCACAGAAAGGGAGAGGGATAGAGAGCTAGAAATGTTGATGAGAAAGAAACATCGATCAACTGCCTCCTGCACACCCCCCACCTGGGGATGTGCCGGCAACCAAGGTACATGCTCTTGACGGAATCTAACCAGGGACCTTTCAGTCCGCAGACAGACTGCTCTATCCACTGAGCCAAACCAGATTTGGCTCTCTTTGTTTTTTATTTCAGAGAGGAAGGAGAGAGATTGGAACATCAATGAGGAGAGAGAATCATTGATGGGCTGCCTCTTGAATGACCCCCACTGGGGATCAAAATCACAACCCAGGCATGTGCCCTTCACTGGAATCGAACCTGGGATGCTCTATCCACTGAGCCAAACCAACTAGCAGCAGCACCTTCTCTTAGCTTCTCTTTCTCTGACCTCTTCCATTGATAACTTATCTTTCTCAGTCTTATCTATCATTCGGTGGTGATAGTATCACTGGTGGTAAGAACTCATTAAGTGTCAATTAAATTAACCCTCATGAGAACTTCCCTATGTGTTAGGGAAGGCAAGATACTGTCATCCCTCCTTTTTAGGTGAAGGTTCTAGCTGGGGAATCCTCCAAGAGAGTGCCTAAGACTTCGTAAATGGGGACAAGGGGAACAGCCTTGGGAGGCCTGGGGCGTGAGCTCTGGTGTCCATCACGGTCCTGGGTGAACAGTTTTGAACTTGTAACTCTGGCTGGTCTGAAAGGGACCCCGAGAGTAGACATGTTTTGGTTATATTATTAACCTTGTAACGAAGTGCCAGTCAATGTAAGATTATGGTAAGCGTATTTATGAACCAAGTGACAAACCAGTGTTCCATCATGAAGGGAAGTGATATTAATGAAAACAAAGTTATCTAACTTGGTCATTGTCAAGGCTTCGTGTTGGGCACACGAGGGTTTATTATTTTATTGTGTTTACTTTAGTGTATGTTTAAAATTGCCAGTCATAAGGGAAAGGCTTTACAAGCTGCCTTGGAGGAAGTCAGGAGGTAAGGCTGCTGACCAAGCCACCGCTCCTGTCCCGTGTTTGACAGAGTCTGCAGAAGGGTACAAATGTGACCGGTGTGGAAAGGTGTTTACCTACAGATACTACAGAGACAAGCATCTCAAGTACACCCCCTGCGTGGACCAGGGCGACAGGAAGTTCCCCTGCTCTCAGTGCAAAAGATCTTTCGAGAAACGGGACCGGCTCCGAATCCATATCCTCCACGTTCATGAGAAGCACCGGCCTCACAAGGTGAGAACTTGGTTCTGTTAGCAAAGGATCCCACCCATGGCCCAGACTGGCCTTCTGGGTCCCTCCCAGAACCCCGAACACACACACTGACGGCCTCCTGGGTGCGGTGCCAGCTGTCACTCTGGACCTGTGATCGAGAAGGAAGCAAAGAGAGATCATTATGTTTCAACTCTGTGATCCTTTAAAAATGTTACTTCCAATTTTATTTCATTTTATTTTTTTCCTGTTTGTTTTTCCCTTTTCCAATTATTCTTAACATAAAAATGTAGTGCATGCTTGGTAAATACGATATGGAGAAAAAACAAGACAGAAGCCACCGGATGCTAGGCTATGGCCCACAAAGTTAAGACATCTTAGGTGTAATTCTTTTCAATATGTTTGTATTTTTCATATACTTAGATCATACTGAAGGTTATGAGGCTAATTTTCTGACCTAAGATATCACAAACTCATTTGTAAATATAATGGCTATATCAGTACATCAGATGGTTGCACCATGATTGATTTAACCAATCCCCTGGTTTGCACATGTCTTGCCAATGATGATGCAGTGAACACTATTACCTAGAAGTAGTTATTTCTGTTATCCATTTGTGATTATTTTTGTAATTGATTAATCCTTAGTGTGGGGGTATGTGTCCAGGAGGCAACCAATAGATGATGTTTCTCTTTCATCCATGTTTCTATCTAACCTGCTCCCTTCCCCTCTCTCTAAAAATCAATACAAACATTTTTTTAAAAAAGAAAAGAAAGTGATTTGACCTTCAAAAGAGTTATTTTTCTGGTAGACTGAAGGAATAATGTGTCATATTTGGTGTTCCCAAGGCTTCTTTTGTTATTTTCTCTTTGCAAGCTCTCCTTTATCATGACTATAAATATTGTTTAACATTGGGTTTCAGATCTGTAGCCAAGAATTTTGCCCAGAGCTCAAGAGGCACATATATAGCTACTGTCCCAACATCTAACCTGAGGGTACTTTGCCCTCATGTTTGGAGTTTTGAGGTTTTTCCTGATTTTTATTGCTTAACATTTTTATTCTCTTTTAGTTTTCTTTATTTCATTTATTTTAACTTGAGCAGTACTTAACTTTTAAAACAATAAAGTATACTTAATTTCCTCTAATGCCCAAAAGCAAACATTTAATTTAACTTTAATAGAAGTCAAAGATACAGTGAAGATAAATTATTTTTAACAAATTAATGGGTTTCTAGAAGAGAAAAAAAATTGACAAAAATAATGGAAGATGTGGGTATACAACCAACAATGAAAATCCCTGCATTACAATCCTTCTAGCCTTTAAGCCTAAATGCACCCCCTTTTCAGATAATTTGTCAAGCAAACTTCAAGTGGGACATAGATTCAAAATGTCAGGAAACCGCCGAAACCGGTTTGGCTCAGTGGTAGAGCGTCAGTCTGCGGACTGAAAGGTCCCAGGTTCGATTCCGGTCAAGGGCATGTACCTTGGTTGCGGGCACATCCCAGGTGGGGGGTGTGCAGGAGGCAACTGGTTGATGTTTCTCTTGCGTCGACATTTCTAGCTCTCTATCTCTCTCCCTTCCTCTCTGTAAAATATCAATAAAATATATATATTTTTTAAAATGTCAGGAAACCCCTGTAGTCCAGGGGTGGGGACCGTCCAGCTTGAGGGCCATATAAGGCCCATAAAATAATTTGGTCTAACCCTGCCAAAGCTTTAGGGGTCAGTTAATTAAATATTTGGCTAAATATAGCAGGCTAATTTTTAAAATGTATTTTTCTTGATTTCAGAGAGGAAGGGAGAGAGAGAGAGAAAGAGGGAGAGAGAGAGAGAGAGAAACATCAATGATGAGAGAAAATAATTGATGGAGTGCCTCCTCCATGCTCCCTACTGGGGATTGACCCTGCAACCCGGGCCAGAATCAAACCAGGGACCCTTCAGTCCGCAGGCTCTATTCACTGAGCCAAACCAGCCAGGGCAAGCCGGCTAGTTTTTAAGTTGATAATTTTTATGGTCCACTTAATGATATTATAAATATCCAAATCACCCTTGGCAGAGAAAAGCTTCCCCACCCTTGCAGTATAATCCCTAACAATGAGGAACAAGAGTTCACACAAGTCCAGAATGTAGGTTCTAGCCTTCTGAAATACCTGACCCAGGGATCAGGGCTTGATTTTTTTTTTCTTTATAAAACATTGTTCCCTATAGTCCATAAATTGCACAGATTTATACAAGGCTTTAACTTTACTTCATCTTTGGCTTCCTTGTAAGCTTTTGTTTTTACTAGCATTTCTAATTTCAAGACACAAAATTAGTTTCTAATTGTATAACTTGTATGATGACATTCCCATTCTTCCTGGAGCTTATTCTGATTTGAACCAGTGATTTCTGGACCTGTGAACTGTCATTTTTGATTTTTTTTAATGCATTTTGTTGATTTTTTTACAGAGAGGAAGGGAGAGGGAGAGAGAGTTAGAAATGTCACTGAAAGAAAAACATCAATCAGCTGCCTCCTGCACACCCTCAGGGGTAGATGCCCTTGACCCTTGAGCCCGAAGGCCGATGCTCTATCCACTGAGCCAATCCAGTTAGGGCTGGATTTTTTTTTTTTTTTAACACTTTTTAAAATTCTACTAATTCTTCTATTCCACTCTTCCTCTTTCTTGATTTATTTTTTGTATCACTGGTGCATATCTTCAAGTAATTGAGTTAAAGGATCTATAGTGAAAAGTTTTCTGAGTCCTTTGTCTGAGGATATTTTATTCCCATCTCTTTGATGGTTTGCCTAGATACAGAATTATAGGTAGAAATAATTTTCCCTCAGAATAATTGAAACATCACTCCATTTTCTTCTATCATTTGGAGCCAATCTGGTTCTTGTTAAAAAATATATTTTATTGATTTTTTTACAGAGAGGAAGGGAGAGGATTAGAGAGCTAGAAACATAAATCAGCTGCCTCCTGCACACTTCCTACTGGAGATGTGCCCACAACCAAGGCACATACCCTTGACCAGAATTGAACCTGGGACCCTTGAGTCCGCAGGCTGTCACTCTATCCATTAACAGTAGTTAACATCATGAGGAAATGAGCTTGTTAGGGGAAGACATGACTTCAACTCTATTTTTTTTTGCCTTAGTGTTCTACATGTGGGAAATCTTTCTCTCAGTCTTCCAGCCTAAACAAGCACATGAGAGTTCACTCTGGAGACAGACCCTACCACTGTGTGTACTGTACTAAGGTAGGTGGAACCTCCTTGTAAGGAATCTGCCTTGAGCTCTGTGTGGGTGTCCCTGGATAGGAACTTGTAGCATTAGGTCTGGCTTACCTAACCCCATTTCTGCCCCCAAATATGCTCACATTTGCTTGTGATGATCAGATACAACGACCTACTGCCAAATTGGCATGTATGATGAGGAAATACACCCCAGATTACACAGTAAGCTCCCATTCACTTAATCTGGTGAAGACTGGCCATGTCGGTGTCTGTGCAAGGACAGCTTGTACACCTTCCTGAGCAGTGATCCAACCCTACGTATGCCCAGACACCCCATTGCTCAGTGCTTCTCTCCCAGCCCCTCCAGTCTGAGGCCACCAGTTTAAACTGGTGTTTTATATCACTGTCAGTGGACCCAAAAAAGCAAAGTCATTACATTTCTAATTACTACCTGAAAGTGACAAAGGTCAGCATAGTATTGACATGAATGAGGGGATTGGTTATAAATAAAGGGAATAAAAGAAGTGGCTAAGAAAAGATAGGGTAAAAATAGCAAATACTTGGGAATCTCTAATGCTAGTCACTCTGCAAAGCAGTTGGGCAGTTTCTCTACTCTGCAGTTAGTTGCTTATATGTTCACACAAAAACCTGTGCACAAATGTTTGTAGCAGCTTATTGCATAACAGCCCCGGCCCATATGTCCTCCTGGGGGGAAGGGATGATACTGACCGTGGTACATCCACACCATGGAATGCACTCAGCAATAAATGGGGCATGGCTGTATGGATACACAGCCTGGGGAATCACCAGACAACTATGCCAAGTGAGGAAAACCAATAACCCAAAGTTGCATCCTTACAATTCTGTGTATATAACATTCTGAGATGATGGAATTACAGAAAGGGAGGATAGATGAGTGGTTGCCACTGCTTAGGAAAGAAACAGGAGTGGGAGGGAATAGGTGTATCTTAAAAAGGGCAATATGAAGGATCTTTTTTTTTTTTTTTTTTAAATATATTTTATTGATTTTTTACAGAGAGGAAAGGAGAGGGATAGGGAGTTAGAAACATCGATGAGAGAGAATCATCCATCAGCTGCCTCTTGCACACCTCCTACTGGGGATGTGCCCGCAACCCAGGTACATGCCCTTGACTGGAATCGAACCCGGGACCTTTCAATCTGCAGGCCGACACTCTATCTACTGAGCCAAACCGGTTTCGGCAACATGAAGGATCTTAATGATGAAAATGTTCATTATCTGAACTGCCAACAATGGCCGGGTTGTGATACTATATTTTGTAAGATGTAACACTTGGGAAACTGGGTAAAAGGCACACAGAATCTCTTATTTCTTCTGAATACATGTGAGTCTACAAGAAGAAACCAATATGGAACTGACTGATGCAAAGACATTGGCCATATCTCTGATGGTTTGCCTAGATACAGAATTATAGGTAGAAATAATTCAGCCAGTATTAGCTGCTCCTTCTGTAGTGCAGTGTCTCTTGGAGTGGGGTCGTAGGACCCCCACTCCCCCATCAGAATTGCTGGTTTAAATGCAGGTTCCTTCTTACCCCCAAAGAGTGCACTTACTGGGCACATTCTCTGGGCTAGGGCTGTCAGTCAGCATTTTTAACTAGATGCCAGGTGATCTCAGGCCCCGGAAAGCCACTGTTGGAATAGCCAGGGCTACTCGGAACCAGTCAGGACGACACAGGGATCATGTCCTTTTCTATCGAGGCTGCTCTTGCTGGCCGAGGGCGCTACCCTGGGCTCATCATCTGGAGAACAATGGATGGTATAAGCGATAGTAACGGGAAAGGAAACCCGTGAGTTCCCTGGCCTTCCAGCTGATGGAAATTTGCTTTTCGTTCTGCTTTCTGTCCTGGCAGAAGTTCACTGCCTCCAGCATCCTTCGCACACACATCAGGCAGCACTCGGGGGAGAAGCCCTTCAAATGCAAACACTGTGGCAAATCCTTCGCGTCCCACGCCGCCCACGACAGCCACGTCCGCCGCTCCCACAAGGAGGAGGGTCAGGGCTGCTCCTGCGGCCGCTGCGGGAAGGCCTTCCCGGATCAGGACGCCCTGAGCTCCCACATGAAGCTTCACGAAGACTCCTAGCCCTCAGGCAGGCTGGGGACCAGGGGCAAGCGAAGGACTCGGTTTCTGTCTTTATTTTCCTTGTGTGTGTGTGTGTGTGTGTGTGTGTGTGTGTGTGTGTGTGTGTGTTGTGTGAGCAAATGGTTCTACTGGAAAATGGGACTGACCCATTAGCTGCAATGACCAGATTTATCAGCGGGTTTTAGCAGCTTTCGAGGAAATGGTTTCCGTCATTTCCAGTAAGAATGAAATTTTGGTGAATTTACCAATAAGTAGTGAAAGCTGGCTGTTAACAGTTCTTGAGCATCCTGGAAAAGAAAAAGAAAAAAAAAAAAAAAAAACGGAGAGAGAGGAGGGGCCACATTGAATTTCTGGAGTGAAAGGGAAGCCTTTCCTTGGGCCCTCAGTTATGATATGGCTGTGGCCGTCACCTGTTAAGTTTCTTCCTAGAATAAATTCTTTTCAAATTCACTCAAGCCAGAGCATCATTAGTGTTGTAACTAAGTGTTCAGACAGGAGTTGGTCTCCCATCTTTAGTTGGGTTCCTTCTAAACCCTCAGTTCTCAGTTCTCACTTCTCCTCCTAAACCCTCAGTCCTCAGTTCCTACTTCTCATGGCAAATGCCTGTTCATTTGGCTAGCCCGGCACAGAATCACTTGGAGGACAGGGAAGTTACTTATTCACCCCACCATCTGTGTGTGACCTTTACCGATTGGGGAAGGCAAATTATCACCAAACAAAGGAAGGCTAACAATTTTGTCACAGAATGAAAAATAACTAGTGTATTTATATTCTAGTTTTAAGACTGATTTTGTTCCTGATGAATAGAAAAATGGAATTCTTTGAGGTCTTTCTAATTAGGTGGTTCATGATAGTATATAGAGTATTTTAAAAGAAACCCATTTTTAAAATGTGCCATAGATGTGAGTGGTTTGGGAATAATCTCTTCTATGTGTAGGGAGACCGCAGACTCATCTCCTGGGCAATAATCGCCAATATTTATTGAGTGTTAACCCCATGTGAGGTTAGCTGTGTTCACTACTATAAAAATGAGCGTAAGAACTGGTGCTTTGAAGGGACAAAGCCAGGTCTACCTGACTCCACAGCCCAGCCTGCGACCCTGCCAGTATGCTCTAGATTAAGACAAGCAACAACAAACTTCACTTCAACATTCACACAGAAAACTCAAAGACCAGAATAAAAGTTGCTTCGTAGGCAACCTAGCTACTAAGCACTATATATCACATGGTTCTATTGACAACCTAGGATTTTTCTTCCCCCGTTATCCACGGTCCACGTCGCAAACTGGAGTAAATTCAATACGGAACAGATGCCCCTTCCAGAGGGAGGCTCCCAGCTGTGGCCTGGTCCTTAGACAGAAGGGATGCCCGTGGAAAAGCAGTGACAGATTTTCCTCTGGGGAATTCCTAGCTTCGGTGGCTGGGTCTGAGTAATTGATCCTAATGGGAATGTGCCCTGTTGTTTAGGGCTGTTTTAACTCATGTTAATTAAGGCAGAACAATGGTCTTCAGAAAAATACTGGAGGCTCGTCCAGTAATTAGGCAGCCTTTCTTTGACTGCTAGTTCAAAATGTATTTCTTTCCAAGCATGGGGTTGAGCGTTATTTTAAAATCAAGCACTAAAACGAACATCGGGAAGGGGTGTGATGCCGATTTCCCCTCCTAGGTGAATAATTCAAATTTAACTACTTTGTGTTTTGAACCAGAGTAGTAGCAAAGGAAGGTAATTTTTCTTTTCTAAGTAGCACTCCAAGATGCATGCATGCAAAATAATAACTTTTCATGGATCATACATGCCCACACTAACTAAAAACTAGACTGTTAGTTTGACCATTTGGGTCATATTGATCAGGTTGCATATGTCAATGTTCAGTTTGGAAAATACAATCAACTCATAACATCTCTCTTTAGGAATTACCTTAAGCTCTCTTATGTTTGTTTAAAACGTGTATCTCGCCTATTCCTAAAGATAACAGATTAATTTATGACAATAGTACAAAGTAGAGTAAGTCAAAGACACACCACCACATACTCGTAGAAAGTATAATAAGTTCCATCACCTGTAATTTTGCTGGCTGAAGATTGCCGAAACATAGCAAATGGAATGTAGATTTTGGAGTTGGACAAACTTGTCTTTGTCTACCATGTCCTCACTGTACAATGTTAGGCAACTCATTTAACTGTTCAGGTTTAACATCCTCATTCATAAAATAATTCTTTCATTTGTGAGAATTAAAATGAAATAACTTGTATTCTGGATGAAACTTAAATCTATTATTTTCCTCTTAACCTGTTAAGGCAAAACTGAGACAGAACTAGACACATTTTATGATTGACAGATATGCTTTCTTTCGATGGTTCTCTTAAGTGTGGTTTCTGGACCAGCCACATCAGCATCACTGGGAACTTGTTAGGAAGGCATCTTCTCTGAATGTCTACTGAATCAGCAATTCTGTGATTGGGACTCAGCAATCTGTGTTTAAGTTTGAAAATCTTCACTTTATTTGATTTACCTTCCCAGTCCCTACAGAGCACGGGTAAAACTAAGTATCCAGGTGAGTGGGCAAAGTCACAAAGCAGCTGATCAGTTGGGAGAAATCATTAGGTTGCAGGCAGATTGTACTCTTCCTGGGACTGCTGAGTTGGGTACCAGTAGAACTCTGTCATCACATGACAGTTGGAGATGTAACCTTGAAGCTACCAGCCTGGTCAATGGAACTTGGAGGCCAACCTGTAAATGAAGTGTCCAATTATCACATGTTCATTCATTAGAATAAAAAATAGCCGGGACTGGTTTGGCTCAGTGGATAGAGCGTCGGCCTGCGGACTGAAAGGTCCCGGGTTCGATCCCGGTCAAGGGCATGTACCTTGGTTGTGGGCACATCCTCAGTAGGAGTGTGTGCAGGAGTCAGCTGATCGATGTTTCTCTCTCATCGATGTTTCTAACTCTCTGTCCCTCTCAATTCCTCTCTGTGTAAAATCAATAAAATATATTTTTTAAAAAAAAGAATAAAAAATAAATATAAAAGGGGGAAATAACTAGGCCCAAAGTGACATCCTTGACATTGCTGAAGTTCTAAGGGTCTTCAGGGTGTGCTAGGACTTGGGGAGCTGGAATGAAGGAAGCTATGGAAGTACACGTGGGGCCTCCAGTAGGCTCAGCACTGTGGCCATAAGTCATTGCTCACTTTGGAACCACAATGCAGGCAGGTTGGGTTTACAAGGAACTGCCATTCACAGTATGATGGCACATCTCAAACACTGTCCCAGGCTGCACAGTATTTCATTCATGGAGGATTTAAGTACTTTCTAGCTAAGCTTGGAAGAGAAATAGTGTTAAGAATAATATAAAATAGCCCCGGCTGGGTGGCCAGGCAACTCAGTTGGTTAGAGCATTGTCCCAATAGGCCAAGGTTTTGGGTTCAATCCCTGGTCAGGACACATACAAGAATCAACCAATGAATGCATAAATAGGTGGAATAACAAAGTTTTGCCTCCTCTCGCTCTCATATCAATAAACATTTTTTTTAAAAAGAGAATAACAAAATAGAGATAAACTTACCCCTCATTGATACTCTTCATAAAATATGGGAATCGTATAGAAAACAATGTAGTTTTCTACCTTGTAAGAAGAATATATTCAGCTTCCACTTATTGCCAAGAATTTTCAATGCTTTGTTGGCTTAAAAGTAACTAATAAAATAAGTGATAGTATTTTGAGGTGGGATATACAGCCATAGTCACAGCTAAGGTACAGAATATTTAGGGAGAACATTGTGTTATTTTTGCATATGGTCTCGGGATAAAATATTCTTTCACTGTCATTTCATCTTACGTTATCTCAGGAGTTTTGTAATTATATATTTAAAAGTAGGATAAATTATGTGTGTTGTCTGCGAAATTTGTTTCTCAGGCTTAGTGCTTTGTGTCAAAAACAGTTTGCTGTGAAGAAAACATATCAAAGGGATTGAAATTCCATTCTTGGTTTTTATAAACTTTAAAAATGCCGTGCTCTTCCATTTAAGTACCAATAAAAATTATTGGTAAGATTTTAAAGCCATTTGTGTGATTCTCCCTGTCCTCCCCATTCTTAACCAGTTAAATGCAGCAAGACAATTGAGATGCCAACACACAGCCCACAACTCACCTGAGTTTATTTTTGACAAGATTTTTCCTTTGAAAAGGTGGGACTTCTCAGGTTCAAGTACTCACACTCTGATGGCTGCAGGACTGTGCGCACTTGAACTTGGGAACATGAGCAAAGTCCTCTTGGAGAAGTCAGCTTTCCTGGGTTATCTGATCGAAAGGTGCCAGAGCCAAATTCCCTTACATTTGATTTTAAAACTCCCAGTAAGAATGTACAAGGTGTCCTTCAAGGTTAACTCTGCTTTCCAGTTCTTAAATACCAAATCCCAGCCACGTGGCCCTCTGGGCAAGCCCCAGGTAGGTCTAACTCTAATCTAGTCTGGAGTCTGAGGGCACAAACTCTGCCAGGAACATCGGCAGTTGTTGCAAATGTCACTAATGACCAAAGCCTCTCCTGGTTAACTATGTACCTACCTGCAGTGATTTTTCAAGGACTGGCAGGACTTGAGAGGGAGAAGAAATCAAATGAAGAAATGGGCGTTTTAAATTGAAATTACTAGAATAACAAGTCAGAATGTCAAGAGACCCTGAAAAAAAGGGGGGGTCTGGGTGCGAGTGAATTACAAAACAGAAGGGGGGGGGGCTGAGTCCCGCAACCCCAGACGGAGGATTTGGGATGTGAAATGAGAAGGGCGGGTTTGTGGTTACAGCGGTTGACTTATTCAGCCTCAGACAATAGGACCCTGACTTTCTAATAACAGAAGACGCCCGGCAGACCCAGACCCAGAGACCGTCTTCGGAAAGAAGCACAGCCAGCCGTTCATCTTCAGTTTGTGATGTTCTAACCCCAACTGCAGCAGAGGCCTGTTGGCGGTAAAAGGTCCCTACCGAGCTAAAGCCCGCCTCTCACTCGCC